CGAACATCCTTAATCGAACGGACAGGCCGAGGCGGCGAATAAAGTCATCTTAACAGAGTTGAAAAAGCGCTGGGGAGATTCTAAGGGCGCCTGGGCCGAAGAACTAGTAGAAGTGTTATGGGCTTATAGATGTACACCTCAATCCACAACAAGGGAAACCCCGTTCCGATTGACATACGACACTGATGCCATGATCCCCGTGGAAGTAGGTGAACCTTCTTTTCATCGACTGCATTTTGACGAAGAAAGCAACAACTCATCTCTTAGGGCAGAAATCGATGTCATAGATGAAGTCCGTGACAAGGCACGTATCATAGCCGAAGCGTGCAAGCAAAGGATGACCAAGGTTTCCCTCCCGAGTAACCAACTCGGCCAAGGATGTACCTTCAAAAATCAACCAAGGTTTCCCTCCCGAGTAACCAACTCGGCCAAGGATGTACCTTCAAAACTCAACCAAGGTTTCCATCCCGAGTAACCAACTCGACCAAGGATGTACCTTCAAAACTCAACCAAGGTTTCCCTCCCGAGTAACCAACTCGGCCAAGGATGTACCTTCAAAACTCAACCAAGGTTTCCCTCCCGAGTAACCAACTTAGCCAAGGATGTACCTTCAAAACTCAACGCTTCTCTCAGAATCAATCCCGAATGACTCCATTCGGTTTCGAATCAAAAGGTATCAATTCCGAATGACTCCATTCGGTTTTGACCCAAAAGGCATCAATTCCGAATGACTATATTGGGTTTTGACTCAAAAGGCATCAATTTCGAATGACTCCATTCGGTTTTGACCCAAAAGGCATCAATTCCGAATGACTATATTGGGTTTTGACTCAAAAGGCATCAATTCCGAATGACTCCATTCGGTTTTGACCCAAAAGGCATCAATTCCGAATGACTCCATTCGGTTTTGACTCAAAAGGCATCAATTCCGAATGACTCCATTCGGTTTTGACTCAAAAGGCATCAATTCCGAATGACTCCATTCGGTTTTGACCCAAAAGGCATCAATTCCGAATGACTCCATTCGGTTTTGACCCAAAAGGTATCAATTCCGAATGACTCCATGCGGTTTTGACCCAAAAGGCATCAATTCCGAATGACTCCATTCGGTTTTGACTCAAAAGGCATCAATTCAGAATGACTTCATTCGGTTTTGACCCAACAGGCATCAATCCCGAATGACTCCATTCGGTTTCGACCCAAAAGGCATCAATCCCGAATGACTCCATTCGGTTTTGACTCAAAAGCCATCAATTCCGAATGACTCCATTCGGTTTTGACTCAAAAGGCATCAATTTCGAACGGCTCCATTCGGTTTTCTCCCAAAGTGAAAACAGCACCGAATAAGGTTACTCGGTTTAGGGTCAAATTAATCTTACTCAGTTCTTCCTGGGATGGATTATTGAATTATTAACTTATGCAATATACGGTTTTGCGTAAAACTCCCCGGATTTCACAATTCAAAAATATACAGCACTAGTTCGGAATGAAAGAGAAAACACTACTTTTATTTAGAAGGTTCTAATGACCTTGTTCATAGAAAAAAAAAACAAAAACAAAAAAAAAACAAAAAAAAGGGGCTCTATCGACCTCTCAAAACACTTAATCCTCAGGATTCACGGGGGCATCCTCTCGAGTTTCCGGCTCGTCCTCTTGCTCACCATCTCGCTCGGGTTGCTCATCCTCAGCATCGTCATCTGAAGCACCTTGAGTTTCTTCCTCCTCAGGGGTGTCAGTCGGCTCATCCTCATCAGGCACAGCCCCGGCGGGCATCTCCCCAAATGACATAAATGACCCTTGGTAGAAGTCCTTGGTCATATCAAACTCAAAGCCCTCGCGAAAACGGCCGAAGTATCGTGCTTGCCGAAGAGCATGACGAAAACCGAAGAGTGTCGTTATTGCGCCTCTGCACGTCTAACTCCGCTGCAAGCTGGCGGTTCATAGCTAGGGCCTCCTCGGTCGTCGCATGCGCCTCAGCCATTGCTCTATCGGCCTCCTCCAATCTTTGCCTCATCTGCATCAATTCACCGATCGGCCCCATGGCAAGTTGGTTCACCAATGCTAAGGACCGAAACTGTAATTTGCAGTAATATTTCCACTTTGATACTGCGTCCATCTGACCCAGTAACTCTCAGCCCTGCTCCGAGAAGCCCTCCGGCCGAACAAGTGAATCGGCAGACACACCTTCACCCCAAAAGGACCGAGACATCAAACCAAGGGGGACGCAAATTACCGTTCCACCCGGTGAGGACACGGTTTGTTTTGACCTTTTGGTTTTCTCAGGCCTTTCTTCGGCAATTTTTCTTTTATGGCTCTCCGGTTGTCTTGTTCTGGCCGAGGCGATGGGGCAATCGACGAACTACCCATCATCCCAGAAGCCTTCACTTGTTGCACCCGATTGGCAAGGAGGTCGCGGATATTGAACTCGTTCGCACCACTCTTCACCATGATTCCTGCATAAATAACCAAGTGAACATCAATAGGAATTTAGCTTAAGGACGAAACTAGAAAGTCACTCACCTATCAAATCATAATCCCATCGGGATGAATCGACCAAGTTAATCAGCGACCTCGTCGGCAAACGCCGAGGAAGTTGAAGCAAAAGTTGAACGTTTTGTTGCTCTTCGGCTGTGAGAAGCTCGTCCGGCACTTCATCGTATGGCCGAGGGGCACGTGTCCAATATAACGGAAACAAACTCCTGCCAGCAACACCGAAGAAGAAACGTCATCCGTTCGGCCGAATGGTCACTCGGAAGAATCCAGCCTTGAAGTTCTTATACGACGAGGTAAAACTATCCAAAAGTTGCCGAGTCCCCACTCGGTTAAGAGATACCCACTTCGCCAAGTCTGACGGCCGAGACGAATAAAAGTAAAGAAAAAGAAAGGGAGAGGGCCTAATATTTACACATCGGCATAAATGTTTGAACCCTTGAAGCTGGGCCCAGCTATTCGGATGAAGCTGGGTCGGCGCCACATTCAAAACCCGAAGAACTCCCATCGTAAACTCATCAAATGGTAGTGTCACTTTCAAATCCCTCAAAAGGCAGTCATACATATAGAACGATGCCATTCTCTCGGCTTGCTTGTCCAAACAGACCATGTCGGGATCGGGGAAAGCGTTGTTTCGGCACGCTCGAACCCCGATTGGATATGGCTCCTCTTTCGCGTCAAAATACAAACACTTCGTGTACTCCAGAAGGTTGGTAATCATAGTGGTGTCTCGGTAGCGCGAGTAATATGAAGTCACCTCTCCGTTAACCCATTCATACTCTGGCACTTCGGAAGGCCCATATCTTTGCCGATTTAAGACACGCTTAGTCTTAATCGGCACCCCATCACTCCCGCTGGTCGAGGCCTCTTCGGATGCGCTCGTGCTCTCGGTAGATCGTCCATCTTCATTCGGCGAATGCCCCGAATCACTGGATGATGACCCCTCGGATGATGACGACCGAACCTCACTAGCCGAAGAGATTTCAGATGAAGTAGCCATAGCAGAAGACTTACCAGCAATGTAAATTCAGGAAGGTCACTCGGCACGCACGGTTGGATCTTCAAACGGGCTCGGAAAATGCAGTTCGGCTCAGAGCGATACGCGTAAAAGGCCCTACCACTCATCACTATATATAGCAAAGGGAAAGGGCAGGAAAAATTAAAAAATGTAACTGCCTAATCTTCAAGATCCAACGCTGGAGATCATCCCAACCTCTCGACTACCCTATAACTTAACCGCATCTTTGTACCCTTGCAGAAGGTATCCCTCCCACAAGGCTAGGGGGCAAGTGTACTAGCAAGGCCATTCGGCCACCTGGCTCGGCCATTCGGCCACCTGATGGCCGACACCCATTCGGCACCCGAATAGCCGAACCAGGTGGCCGATCAGCAACCAGATGATCCCTCCAGATTCTCACTAATAAAGAGTTACGGACTCCCTCTAATTACGGATTAAGAGTTAATCACACCAATAAACCGATTAGAGGCGTATTACCTAATACGGTAATCCTGCCACAGGGCCCAGGGAGGTCAGGGCTCATAAATGTCAGTATAAAGCTCATGTCACGAGGTAACGTCACTGTTCATTAATTACTATCGATATTTGTGCTTTGTCCTGACTTGAGCGTCGGAGTGTCTTTTGCAGGTGCCTCCCCTTCACCGGAATATTCGATCGGAGCTCTCGTTCACCCCCAAGAATACGAGAAGATTACTAGTGTGCCCTTCAGACAGATACAGTTCTTGAAAGCAAATGATGTTATTTCATGCTATCATGACATTAAGTAGTGGTTGCCACCTTGATTAATAAATTAGTTTTGATTAATTCACTGTTAGTTTAGTATATTTTGCCTATGTGATCATATACAAACGAGCATTCTACTCTTTGCATAAGAAAATACTTATTTGATAATTAAATTAAAAAATTAATTTTACCAAATAAATAATAATTTAGTACAATATTATTATATTTTTTATTAGCAAAAAAATATAATTAATATAAATATATGTAATATTTATCACCATTTTATTAACGTGGAAGTTATCCACAATAATATTTTGACAAAGATGCAAGCCATATTTTATTATTAAAATCGAAACTATTGATTTAGTCAGAATAATTTCAAATACTATTTTAAATAACAATTACAAGATAACTCTATTTGAAATTATTCTGATAACAAACTAAATTAATTTGTTTCTATTAGATAAGATCAAAAGTTGTATTTCATGGACTTTAAAATAACATCTATGCGCGCTTACCACATTTTCAACTTCATCAAGCTTGGTTTTGAACACTCACTTGGTTTCAATGACTGACTTTTCTACTGCCAAAGGAACAAGGTTCTAGTTCCAAACATCATTCTTTTATAATTGGTCAAACTTCTCTTGCATAGCTTTCACCCAACCTTACCTTCACCTGGTAGAGAATCATCCATTGTCTTTGGTTCCAATTCTGACAAGTGTGCAACTTGAGCTTGATCCTTAAAAGTTGATATAGTTCTCATTATGTAATGGACTCTTCCAATGTTTTACTCTTCAGTGTGATAGTTATTTCTTTTTCAGTTTCTACCAGAGTTTTTGAACTTTTTCTTTGGACGAGCTATGTTCTGACTCATTGGATGCTTGCTTTGGCTCACTTCCAATGAGATCAAAATTTGCAAAAAAAATCGTCCAATTTCGATAATTCCTTTTTAGGCGTGTTGTCATTAAATTTAATATGTATGGACTCTTCCATGATTAAGTTTCTAGAGTTATAAACTTTACAAGCCTTAGAATTTTTTAAGTATCAAAAGAGAATTCCTCTATCAACCTTTGAGTTAATTAAACATTCAAATTATCTTTAGTGTTTCAAATATAAAGTATTGACGGTCAAAAAGATGAAAATAGGAATGTGGAGATTTCTTTCTTTTCATAAATAATAGGGATTATTTTTCAAAATAGGTCTAATGTATATTTATCTTTGAAGATAACATGCAACTTTTACAACTTAAGATCAAAAGTTTATAAGAGTGAGATTGTCATTATGGTTCTAGTCATTTCCTATTATGTCACGTTCTTTCTCTCCACCACACAATTTTGTTGTGATATTTTTTATGTAGAGAAACTCTAATGGACACAATTAACCCCACCAAACTTTAGAAAATATTCATTTTCAAATTATATACTCCATCGTCACTTCTAGTTGAAGTGATGCAAACACCTTTCCATTTTGAATACATTTACAAAATACAAAAAAGACCTTGAAAAGCTAACCATTGTGAGTTAAGAGTATAATTCATGTTCATCTTGTATAATTGTCCATTACAACTAGTCCACACCTTTTATCACTAACAAAGGATGTTCTAGTTGCCCCAATTAAATCATGCGCAACAACTCAATAGTGGTTTTGAAATGGAAGTAATATTTTTTGATTAAAAAAACTTTTTTTCTTGTTCCCTTATTGCATGCCTCAAATAAGTCAATTGACTTGAATAAGATTGTTAAAAGACTCATAATTCCCGAATATGTATATATAATTTATTTAATTTAGGTAATTATTAATATATATTATGCTTTTAATTCTTGTTTTGGCTACAAAACATGTAGTCAAGAGTTAATTTCATTTTAGAACTTAATTGTTTAAATATTAGATTTTTTTATGTTTTCTTTGTTGAAATACGACATAAGTAGAAAATAATTTGAAAGCTACATGGCTAAAAGGGGAATCATTGCTCCAACCTACACCAAAGACTTGTTCCAAGCTAGGAAAATTCGCTTAGAGTGAGCTAAGTCAAAAAACAATCCCAAAAGCATAGACATGGTCACTCAGAGTGTCCATGGACGCTTTGAGGGAGCCAAGTCAGAGAGCAATCTTGGAAGCATATACATAGTCACTTAGAGCGAGCAACATGGACGCTCTAAGCGAGCCAAGTTAGAGAGCACTTCTAGAAGTATATACTTGGTCGCTCAGCGTGAACAACATGGGCACTTTGAATGAGTGGAGTTGGAGACCATCCTTGGAAGCACATACATGCTTACTAAGAGCAAGCTACATAGGTACTCTAAGTGAGTGAATCATATCTAAAAGTTAATCAGAATTCTTATAAAGTCAAGGTCTATGAGGTATCTTTATCCAATTTTTGATCATTCTTTTTCATCTTAGCATAATTCTAGAGAGATTAGAGAGTGTTTCTATGAGATCATCATTGTAATCACGGATCGCTTGAAGGTCTTTCTATTGTTGTGTAATCCTTAGTCATGAGTGACTAAGTCTCTATTGTTGCAGGTTAAGATAGCTACTTGAACTATATATGTAAATGTTTCCTCATTTTTCCTTCAATAAAGTATTTATGTAGTTAATCATTTTATTCTTGTTCTTAATGCTTGTTGTGACTTAACCAACGTCTTCATGATTTCATAACTTTTAGTTGAGGTTGGAAAGCCTCTTTTTAAATTATGACCTAGATAAAATGCTAATAACATTTAGTACCAAGCAAATGAGATAAACCTTATTAGTCAACTTTTTATCCTTGACCTAATTGCAGGATTGTTTAGCAAAAATTACCAAGGAATTGATATTTCTCTTAAACAAACTAGAATTTATCACCTAAGGAATTAAGATTTAAATACAATTATGAATTGTTGAATTAATTGTATAATATTGCATTTTTGAATGGAAAATTAAGAGATTTTGGATAGGAATAGTGAGTGAATCAATCTATGAGTTTTCTTCCTATAAATTCAAATTATTCACTATTTATTGCTTACTTTATTCTTAGCAAATTTAAATATTTCTTGTTGAACAATTTTAATTTCTTATTCATCTATTTAGTACTACAATTATATTAAATAATTATAAACTTAAGTCTGAGTGGATTCGATACTTGGACTTTTATCCTCTTTACTACCTATAACAATTGGTATACTTGCTAAATACGTATCAAGTAAATGACACTTTTGTCAGGGACTTGCTTCTTATAATTGTTTAATTATAATATGGTGCAAGATTAAGTTTTTAATTCTTGTTTTAAATTTTTTAATTTTATTTATTCAATCAATTTTATTTTTATTTTATTAGATCTCACTTATTCTTATTTTAGCTTGATTATGTTTATGCGAAGTCAAAATTTAGTTGCAAAGGTATACTACAACCCAGAAATGGTAGGACTTGTAGAAGAAACAACAATCTACAAAGGAGACAACTTTTAGCAAGTCAAATTTCTTCAACAATCGAGCTAATGAAAGAAGCAGGAGCAAATATAAATTTATCCCTTACTGTTATTGTTGCTCCTCCTCCTCCTCCTAATCCACAACTAGAAAAGAGGGTGATGGATGACTGCATGGCACATCGTGGCCTTAGTGAGTTCAATAGAATTGGACGACCTACTACCAGCACAACCTGGTTTAAGATTAAGCCAACATTACTGAATCTGATAAAGGAGAATCAATTTTTTGGAGCCAATGACGAAGATCCTCCTACATATTTGTTTGAGTTCATCATAATTTGTAGTGTCATGCAATATCAAGGTGTTCTAGATGACAACATCAAATTGGCAGTGTTCCTTTTTTCACTATTCATGAGGAGAGCAAGTTATTGGCTACAATTATTTCCACACAATATTTTTCCTATATGGGATGATTTAGCTAATAAGTTTCCAGAGAATTACTTTCCTCTAAAAAAATAAGCAGTGCAAGATGATCATCAACAACTTTTAGTAGGAGGTAGATGAGTCATTATTGAATGCATGGGACAGATACTAAAATGTGCTGGGGAAGTGTCTTAACCATGGGTTGGATGATATGGATCAGATGTGTACTTTCTTGGATGGACTGCTATATGATAATAAACTCATTCTGGATGCCTCAAATGAAGGAAATATAAACTACAAGACACTAGAAGAAGCATTCATCATCATAAACAATATCTCCAACAACCACATTGAATCCCATAGGACGAGATTTGCACCATAGAAGGGCATGTATGAGTTGGGTCCCAATGGAGCTATATTGGCCCAAAACAAACTCCTAACACGACAATTTGAGATACTGAACAACAAAGTGGAGAAACTATGCCGCAACAAATCCAACAATTACAACCCTAGGCACTTGCATTAGCTTTTACATACTACATTAGTGGGTGTGAGATTTGTGGAGCCACACATTTCCAAGGGCAATGTGGAGCAATGGTGGAGGAACCTCAACAAGAAATGAACTATATGAGCAATCAAGGAAGATATGGAGGTCATCAAGGTGAGAATTTCAATAGAACTAATCAGAAGAATACATTGGCTGCAATTAGAGACTTGGAGATCAAGATGGGGAAACTCTCTACTTGGCTTGAGTAGGGATTGTTTTGGTAAGTTTGTTTCTCACACACAATCTAGTGGGAGATGTAGTGTTATAGTGACAAGGAGTGGAAAGAAGTATGTGTGGTAGCAAAAGAAAAAATATATATATTGAGGGAGAATAAAAAAGTGAGAAAGAGAGAGAGAAATAAAGTTAAATAAATAGAAAAAAATGGTGGGCGAAGGAGAAGGTGACAAAAGGCTAAAACACCAATTGGTGAAAGAGAAAAAAAAAAGTGAGAATCCTACAACAATAAAAGAGTTACCTTACCCTCTAGTACCTACCAAAAAAGATAAAGAAAGACAATATGCACATTTCATGGATATTTTAAATAGGCTCTAAATCAACATATATTTTCCTGAGGCATTGGAGAAAATGTCTACCTATGCGAAGTTCATAAAGGAGTTATTAACAAAAAAGAGAAAGTTCATAGAGGATGACACTATTGAATTAGATGCAAGATATGTAGCATCATCATTTAGAAGACTTTACCTCCTAAGTTGAAGGATCCTAACAATTTCACTATTCCTAAGTTGATGATTGAATTGTTAAAATTTGATGTAGAACATGCGTTATTAAATAAAGTAAGTGGATCCCTTCTATATATATAATTTAATACTAATAGTACGAGTCTCTAACAATATAGCGAAATCCTAAATCTAATTTCATCCCCTTCACGAGTCATAATTGTGTAGTGCCTTTCTTTTCCTTTATGAGTTCGACTATATGAGTTTCAGTTTCACCGTTTGCACAGTTCTACTGTGACACTGACATCGTGTAACTGCACAATACACTACAACAAAATTGATTATTACCGACAATTATTTAGTGGCAATAAATTAATTGCCTTTATTTTGTTATTTAATAAAATTATTAATGACTAATATATAATGATCACTAAAAATGTATTTATATCACACCAAAATTTACTATTAGCAACAATTATTTATTTAGAAAAACTTAAGTCTCACATTGACCAGAAATAAGATAATTAAAGAGTATATAAATAGATGATAACTCTCACCTTACAAGTTTGTTTTGTAAGGTTAAGTTAGACTTATAACTTACTATTCTCAATAGTTCTTACATTTGAGGAGGTGTACTGGAAAAAATCCAAATCCCATATCGACTATTGATAAAATATATAAGTAAAAGATAATTCTCATCTTACAAGTCTCACATCGAGTAGAAAGCAAAAAATATCATAAAAAATTATACACTTTTGCTGACCATTATAAGGATTTTTACCAGTATTCAGAATAATTGCCGCTAAATATTTTAACGACACTGCATACAATGACTATTGTGAAAATGTTGTTAAAAATCATATTAAATGTCACTAAAAATCTATTTTGTTGTAGTGAATACCACTATGAGTTCGTGGCTTGGGCTATTGCGACTTTAAGCTTCACCTGATCAAGTGCAACTACAACTTTGACCTTCACCACGAGTGCAAGTGTGACACGGCCATCTGAAGCTACACGTAACCACACTATCAAGTTCTATCACCACTATTCATGCACCACTATTGTCTCACTTTCTCGTTGTTTCATCTAAACACCACTATAAAAATTGTTTAGCCTTGATTTCATTGTAGCAAGTTTGTTTTTTCCTGCTTGCTAGATTGAACTAAAAACTATTGTTTCTAATTTTCATTTGGCAATATTTAAAAGAAAAATTTGTTAAACATTGTTTTTAATTCCAATATTATGTTTGATTATTCAATTGTGAACAAAAATTTTGTTTTCTAAACTCGTATATTTTAATGGCACTGGGAGTATTTTATTTGTTTTTAACTTCTCTGTGCTTTTTCTAGCAACAGAGAATTAAATCGCTTATTAATTTGAAGTTGGATATAATGGTATCTTTTGAGAGAAAATAATTATTTTGTAACACTAGTTGTGTTCTTTATTGTTTATATTGATCTGGTTTTACATAGGAAAAAAAACTTTAAAGTATTTTTCTCGAAGTATACTCTATAAACAAGGGTTCTTTAAGAATAAATTTTTAATATAATTGTATAATTCTTTTAATTAATTTTTTTATATTATTAGTAACTTTATATATAAGTAAAGTGTGAGTTTAAGTAAGAATATCAATATCTAGGTATGAATAAAAGGATGGAAATCAACATTGTTATTCGTGTGAGTATTAAGTCGAGTATAAACATTATTTTGAAACATGCCAAAATATATAGACAAGTATTATAAGATTTTATCTACACGGATTAGACCTTATTCATTACCATTCCTATATCAAATAATATTATTATTATTTGATTTTCATATCATAATCGTGTAAGATAATTATGTCTCATGTGGAAAATATGTAAAATATAAAGGGATTAATAAATAAATAATTAAATAATTAAAGACTAAATCATAAATGAGTTTAATGGAGCATTTATGAGAATAATTGTTATTTGATGGAAATAATAATCTTTACAGGTTATAAATATCCACTAATGTGAGACAAGGTTCATACCCGTGATAAAAAGTATTCTCTCAAACTCTAGCCATCACGAAAGATAGAGAGTAGAAAGAAAAGTCAAAATCTTGGTTCTCTTCAAGAAGATCAAAGCACTCTAAGGATCAAAGGAATTTTCTACTATGGAGAAAGGTACACACTTTCTTATTATTATTATGTGAGTATCATAAATTTCAAAGATCCTTTAATTTTCTATAATTGATGTATTAGAAAATCACAGAACTTACAAATCGTACTTTACTCTTTTAAAGAAATGAGGTCTATTCATGACTCTATATATGTATTAACAAATTTGAAAATCATTTCCATTACAAAGTTGTAATATTTTTTTCATCAATAAAAATTACAATGATAAAACAAAATTCAAACTTGAGCATGAATTATCTCAACTTCACCATTACAGAATTATAATATTTAAATAATGCAGTGGTCACTAAATTTTTTTACAAGAAAAACTGTCTCGAAAAGGAATTATATTTACAAATTAACTAATTTTTTTATAAAAATTAATTAATTTCAATATGAATATTGTAATACGAGAAAAATAAATTTTCCTAAGCTTAATATTCATCATATACATGTAATTCATTATTTTCGAAAAGAATCGAATTGAATTCAGGTCACATCATCAACACCGGATCAATTCAAATAATTTAAATGTCAAATCAAATAATTAACACACAAGTCAAATGATCTACAGCTGGTTTATGAACTACAACTAATTCATTAATTAACATGGATTTTAAAGCTTTATTTAGATAAATTTATCAGCAATTGCTTATATTAAAAGAATTAGAAAGTAAAATAAATTAATTATTTTAAAAATTATATTTTTTTGGATACTTACTTTTGTTAAATGAGAAAAAATTTATATAAATTAAAATGCATAATATATAGAATCTCTAACTCATTGAATTAGAAACAAATCTCATTTTGGTAGTGTGATTATCATTACATTAAAAGGTTTTCGCATATGGAAGAAATCGAACACGAATTTTTTTTTGTTAAAGTTAATTTAAACTTATAAGAGAACTTTTTTCTTATATACTTAATGAGAAATTTATTTATATAGGATTTGAGTTTAAATAAAATAAATGAAAGGGTAGAATATCAAAAAAATTGTTAAATAAAGTTTTGTTTTTTTAGATATTTTTATTATCGTATATATATATATATATA